CATGCATTCATGGTCCTTAATTACATACTACCTTTTCCATAGGACCCCTGCCTCATTCAGTGTATAGGATGGACTATTTTCCCTTAATGAGGACCTAGTCAATATTTTATTGTCTCCTCATTGTTCAATATATGGCCATATCCACAGGAAGGAACTCCAGGAAGATGGGAGATCAGCATCTTCAAAGACCCACTGTCTTTCCTAATGGCCCATCCAGGCTGATTGCATACTGTCTGGTGGGCCTTCCCCAAGTATACACAGTTGCAATTGTTACATAGTCAATATTCCTAACTTCAGATACAGAAATGATACATGCATACACATTGGATAATTACATTCAGTAAATTACAACCTTTCAAATTCCTCACATGACCCATCTTGCATAAAACATATCTTAGTTATGCCACATTCATATCATAATATTTCTATGAAGAATATGGGGGCTTAACGTCACACTGGCATTTCCTAACTTTTTGAGTGTTAACTTTGCAATTTTAATCATGTTCTTTTAACAGTTTTTGTGTTGCAATTTCCTAGATTTTTTAGAAAAGCAAACTGAAAAAGCAGAAATTCTGTCATATAGTAGCATGCTGACACCCACACGGTTCCTCAGAACTGGAACCTCTAAATCTACACAGCTTCCCCTTGAGCTAATGGAGTGACTGATAGCAATGTTAGGTCATCAGAGTCTATGTGGTCCAACAGTAGAGGCAGGTGAGACACTGGTTTTCACAGGTATTTGTTGATGGCAAAGGAATAGCAAAGTTCTGGGATCTCAAGCTTCATTTCAGGTTCTGGAGGGGTGTGTGCTTGAGTGGACACACACTCTTCTGACCAATCTCTCCAAACTTGATACTACGGCTCCATCCCCTCCAACCTGTCCCTGTCATACCTCTTCCTCCTCCCCTCCCCCAAAGCTTTGTCCCAGTCCCATTCTCCTTCACTACCCAGTACCAGTCTCCTTGCCCAGCCAGTCCTAGTCTTTGTCCCACTTTCGCATCTTGTCTGATGTCTCCCTTCTCTGCCAACACTTGCTCCTAATCCTAGTTTCACTGCCTGGGCTTTTCAGCCAGTCTCAGTCTCCCTCTCACATACACCCTTCTTGGCTCCTTGCTCCAATGTCCCCCCCAGCTCCTAGTCTAATAATAATAATAATAATATATGGAGATATACTTATCTCATAGAACTGGAAGGGACCCTGAAAGGTCATTGAGTCCAGCCCCCTGCCTTCACTAGCAGGACCAAGTACTGATTTTGCCCCAGATCCCTAAGTGGCCCCCTCAAGTACTGAATTCACAACCCTGGGTTTAGCAGGCCAATGCTCAAACCACTGAGCTATCCCTCCCCCCGACCTCTGTGATCCTCCTCTCCAGCTATCTGGCTCCCAGTCCTCCCTTACCTCCACATTTCCCTCCCGAGTTCTCTCCACCTCCACTTTCCCAGACTCCTTGTCCCCATCTGCTCCTTTCCCTCCCCCAGCTCCAGATTTCAGGTCAGACAGCTTCCTATTCTACACTGCCGTGTCAGCACTGAGAGCACAGGAGAGACAGGCTCCCTGCTCTCAAGTTCCCGTGCCCAGCACTAACCATGCCCAGAGCAGCTTGCAATTAAAGGGAAAGCCCAGCTTCATGCCTGTACCCCTAGGCTGGAAGGAACATGAGAACGGTGCATGCACAGTCTGGTCCACAATAGGAGCTATGACAGAATGGAACTATGCAGTTTCCCCTTCCACCAAGCCACTTCTCACAGCCGATTTACGCATAGAACTGTGACATTTCACAAGGGTAACCAAGGTTGTGAGGCACCTCACTTACCACTGCTGTGAGGAGGTCTTACTGCGAGGAAGTCTGATCTGTGCAGCCATGTCTCAACTTCCTAACTCCACTGGCCACACAAGTACTCCCCGCTCAGCCTAGGCAGACTCTACTGTCTAGGTCAGTGATAGGTACACTCCAATCCCTGAGCCCATAAGAAAGTCTGCAGAAAAGAATCATTACTTTTTCATGGACCTTATGTCCATTAGGGCACGGCTCCTTTTCTGGCAACCTTATTCACCCACTGACGGGCTATACTATTATGTTCACCACTTTTACAAGACTATGATAAATTTTGTATAAAGTATGCCTTGTGAGGTTTCATTTGAAAAGTCAGAATCTGCTGAATGTCACATTATCCTGGTGAAATATGTGTAGCAACACTATAAGTGAAGTTAAAAGATTCTACTGTATGATTGTTACTGAAATATGTTGTGACTCTGGGTAGAGCCCACAAACCAGTTTTTTCAGAGACAAAGACACACTGGCATTGAAAAGCTATCACCTGCCTAAGTGGCCATTCTGCAGCAGAGGGAAGGTGTGAATAAGAAATGTATATTGCATCATAAGAATGGTTCAAACCTCACACCCACAAAAGTTCGCCTGTCGCCTGCACCCCAGCAGGGTGTAGTCCTCACAGAGGGGAGGGGGGCATAAGAATGTGAGACAGTAGTCTTCAACTACTTCTCCAATCTCTCTGCTCGTGACATTAAATAATACCTGAAGGACACTGAACTCAGGGAGAGGAGTCCCAGTCTGAAAGGAAACCCAGCCTGTGAAATTTACTGCAGCATATGGTGAGACAAAACCATTTGCTTTTAAGTTCACTTAGCTTGGTAAGTTTGGTTCCAAAAAAAAAAAGTAAAATGCAAGCTAATACCTATCCTGAAATTTATGCATCACTTGTAATCACTTAAAATCTATCTACACTTATCTTATTGTTTTATCTTAACCAATGTGTTTGGATTAGTATGGAAAACTCCATCGGGGATAACAAGGTTCGTGCATTATTTTCCTTTCATGAAATGATGGACTTCCTATGAGCTTGTATTGTTCAGAAGGATACTGAACCATACAAGACACACATTTCTGGGGGGACAAGGCTAGGACTAGGAATCTGCAGGAGTTGCCCTGTATGTAATTCATGAGCGATAGGTCAAAGTGCTCAAGAATTTAGTTAGGAGTGAATTTGCATGCTGAAGGCTGTGAGAGCAGGCCAGGAGTGGATGTTCTGACAGCAATGCAGTGTAAAAAGCACCCCAATCTAGAGAACTAAGGGGACACAGCTGTTCAACGGTCTAGATTGTAGTCTGGGTAATGTCACACCCACCTTAGGTTTGGGAAAAATAATCTCACTTCCCAGAAGCCCCTGACAAGTAAGAGCACCATCCAGATGCACAAAAGCATCAGGTTTTCTGCCTACCAGATAAGGACCACAGAGGAGGCCTAGGTAGGCTGAGTGAAACCAGGAACAGCAGCACTAAGCTGCCAATCTAAGAGGAAGCTCAGTGAGAATATAGCAAAGAGGCAAGGAGAAAGTTCCATTTGCTCTGCTTAGCTCTGAGTTTCCAGCAAGTGGGAAGGGTAATCAGCCTAGCAGGGAACCGTCACATGAGTAATGACTTGAGAAAAGAGGGCTGGGAAGAAGGACACTGCTAAGCATCATCATCGGCAATCTCTCGATTCGAGGATGATCTCTACCACAGATTTACATATGAGTCCTGAGATGACTCAGGAGTACGTGCCTGGAACCACTGATCTGCCTGCAGTAGGTAGAGACATTTCCTGGCAGGTCAGCTGCCTGCTGGGAGAAAGTTCTTTCTTTTTCCTTCCTTCCTCCTCTCCCTCTTTTCAGCTTCAAGGGCAAGGTGCGTCTCCTTGAAGCAAGCTACTGCCTGATGGAGGATGTGGTGCCACTGAGGTCAGTTGGTAGCTTGCTCCTCCCAGCTTGTGATGTCCATGTCAGTTGTCTTAAGATACACTTTCAATGTGTCTTTGTAGCGTTTCCTCTGACCACCATGGTCATGCTAAGCAGGCTTAAGGCCAACCCTCAGTTTGTAAGCATTATCTCTCAGTCCTCCGATTAGAGATCTGTGGTGACTAGTGAGAGAAGAGACTGGGTGGCAGTTTCTCCATAGATAGGAATCTCTGTAGTATCTCTTTGTCTAAAGGTATGCAATAGTTTAATTTTCCAGTCAAGTCAGAGTAGGATGTGTAGCAACTGCTAAAGAGACATGCAAATTTGCCACCAGCAGAGGCTGCAAGATACTCTGATTTGATTTTAAGAGGCTGAATAGAGCTTGGAAGTTATAGTCTGCAGTCAGGTCTCTCAAAGTAAAAACAAGCTATTTTTGCCTGAAACAAGCAACAATTCATGTTGCCTGCTGAGCCACAGTAGACTTGGTAGTAAAATAATAACTATAGCTTGACTACATGCTGCTGCAAACAAAATTTGATTTGATTTTAGGAGGGAAACAGCCTCCACTTAGAAATTTTATTGCCCTTGCAATTGAAGCTTAGCTGCCACCAGGACCAAATCAATCACATTATTTAACACATTTGTATAAAATACACATGCAGACTTTATTAATTAAAAATATAAAAATATCTAGTACATCAAACCACCCTGCTGGATTTGGATAACAAGAGTCAATTTGAATCAGTGGAAAGTAACATTGAAGGATCTGGGCCAAGTAAGTAAAACACACGATACAGAGGAGTATGCAGAGGAATACGAGAAATTCAGATGTATTCCCAGAATTCACAGGCAGGAAAATACTCATGGTTTCATGTCAGAGACCAAGGGTGAAATCCTGGCCCGACTAACTGCAATGGGGTCACAATTTCACCCTAAATGTTTTGCGTAATTTGTTGCAAGTATGAGATACTCTTCAATATGGCTAGCCCTCTTATAAGTGGATGTAAAAGACATTGTGTGTAAAAAAACATTAGAACAAATTCCCTGCATGAAAACAGTTCTGTTGCTCATGTAACATGCATCACTTTGTCCACAAGCAGCTCCCATTACTATATGGCTGTAAAAAGCATCATAAAGAACACCAAAAGCTATAACAAAACAGAAGCTGCTTACTCTTCATCACGAAAAACTTTTAGAAGCCAAAAGGTATACGTTGTCATATTAAGACAACAAAAGTTCAACAAAGACAGGTAAATACATGCACCTACCTGGGGTATTTGGTACAGAGTCAAAGTGACAATTGGATAGCACGGCATGCTTAGCTCCACTTCTGGGCTCCAACTTAACCACAACATTAGTTATGTTTGCATAGTAACTGGTAAAGCCACCTAAGAAGTCAATGCTGAAGGAGCCTGTTGGCCTCTGTATATCTACAGAAATCTTGTGTGCATCACTGCTTTTGCTTTCAATTGCCTTAATTTGTTCTAAGAGGTAGTTAACTGTGAGAATTTCATTTTCTGGACTTCCAACTGTCCTGGGACCAACTGCTGTTATATTTTCAAGATATTCCCTACAAGAGATAAATTGAAACATTAACAATGCAGATTTCTTGTAACAAATGCATTCAATATGCAACTTGACCACAATTTGTACATTTTCAGACACCCTTCCACTCCATACGGTAAGCAGAAGAGGCTTAAATCACCTACCATGTACTGCATCTGAACACTGCTAAAATTCCTAATGCTATTAAGGTCAAAGATCTGGGTACACTTTTGCTCAGTGCCATGTTGCCTACCAGAACCAGGGAGAAGTGTGACAGCACTAAACACCCCCTTTCTGTGTGACAATATGACAATCCACTTATTTTATCTTTCAAAATAAGAATATCAGCATAGAAAAAGCATGGAGAGAGAGCAAACTGTCAAGTAAGTTATTTGCTTTTTGATGCATATATATCACACACCCCAACCCCATCCCCCGCAGGTCTGAACAAGCACATTCTTTGTAAGATTTACAATGAGCCAAATAATAGATTTATTTTACATTTATTTCAATTTGTCATCCACCTTTCCCAAACACATTAGAACAATTAAAATTTAAGATATACAACACCAAAAGAAATACACAATTTGATCACCCAAATCAGGGGTGGGCAAACTACGTGCCACATCCGGCCCACGGGACCACCCTGCCCGGCCCCCGAGCTCCTGGCCCAGGAGGCTAGCCCCCGGCCCCTCCCCTGCTGTCCCCCCACCCCCACAACCTCAGCTCACTCGCTCCGCCGCTGGCGCAATGCTCTGGGCAGCGGGGCTGAGAGCTCCTGGGGCAGCGCAGCTGCAGAGCCCGGCCTGACCCAGTGCTCTGTGCTGCGTGATGGCAGCATGGCCCAGCTCCACCGCCGCCAGTGCTCCAGGCAGCGCGGTAAGGGGGCAGGGAGCAGGGGTTGGATAGAGGGCAGGGGAGTTCAGGGTGGTAGTCGGGGGGTGTGGATGGTGGTCAGGGGGAAAACAGGGGGTTGAATGGGGGCAGGGGTCCCAGGGGGGCAGTCAGGGAGGGGGGGG